TATGTCCCATTACCCTCTGCAACTTCACACCTGCAGACAGTGAGATTCCATTTTATGATAAATACATTTGAAAAGAAATTATATGAATTCATTTGATAATTACATATGAAATTATATGTAATTCCAGATAAGTTTATTCTTCTAAGCACAAGCGTTAGTTTCTAAAGCACCTCTAAGCAGCATGCAACATATAAAGCAGGGTTAAGAGTCTTTAATCAAAATAACCTTTTGATAAGACTTGGTCGCTGGGCAACAAGTCCATTAACTGAAGAACCTTTTCACTTGCTCCAACAGACTGCATCATTGATGATACATTGTCTGTGACCCTCCAAGTTGCGTAAATTAACCACTCACAATACAGTACATACTTAGTTAGTTGCTCAGCTGATACATGACCACTCATAATTGAAATTCCTCCCCACACCACTGCAATAATCTGTAGACGTGATTTGACAAAGTGGAGTCAAATAATAGATTTTCATTTAATTGCAATAACTTAAGACATTTTCCTTTCTCACTTCAGAAAACCAATAACTTAAGACCCAACACCTTATGAATCATGATAGTTAACTAAAAAGAGCCAAACCTGTGTAGAACGATAAAGAGTACTGAAACTCACACACCAGAATCCATAAGCCACACTCTCTCGAATGTTTACAAAAGCAACTTTGTCTAGCCATTGCTTGAACCTAATATCACATAGGATGCATGCTTTAGGTGTCAGAATTCTCAGACTTTCTTGTGCTATGTTTATTAGAAAGACAACCGTAAAAAGAAAATGCCTGACAGGAAATTAATAGTAAAATATATACCTTCCAAATTCTTTTCTTTCAGTTCCATAAACCCGGACAGTTCTCATCAAGGAAAGTGTTTCTTGTGCAGCCTACATTCAAATAGGAAAGTGATCAACTAAAGAAGATTAACATAAATTTTGGAGCATTTTGGATCTAAAGTCTGCCTATACTTCGTTGGCACCAGCAGTGAAGTCTTGGACTAACTTTGCAGCTTTCTTTTGGTACCTATATATTGTTATAAAATATAAAATAATCAACCATATCACTCCTTCATTTATTGTGATAGCAGAACTTTGTGGTATAAATAACCTCAAGCTTCAAAAAATCCAAATCAGATATAAAGTAGAAAGAAGGTAAAGAAGCTTACTGTCCATAAAGAAGAAAAATCATAGATAACACACAGCAGATAAACAATGTTGATAATGCGAGAGGCCGAGATAATATCAGCAAATTGATCAGTGCACCTATCCCCTGAATACAGAAAAACTGTAACTTAGACTAGACTATCAAAAAAATCAAATGCACATTTGGGGAAGGGGAAGGGGAAGGGTAAGAACCACAACCTGAAGAACATTGCGTAAGATCAAACTCATATCATTCGCAATAACAAGAGATAATCGTTGACAATCGGCCCCAAGTCTGCTCGTCAAATCACCAACTGCTTCTCTGTCGAAAAAGGATATATCCTACATCAAAGATGACACCAAAATAGAGTACAGAATTGAATAAAAACGAAGATCAAGCAAGTCAACATTGCTTTAAATAAATTTGTTGACAATTGGCACCCAGTTGTTCCAATTGCTAAATGAAACACAAACCTGGAAAAGAAGAACTGAATAAAGAGTTTCCCTGAGACACTTCATCTGCAGTATGATGTTTTGAGCAGCAGATGGTGTACAAAGAAATTAGATAACAATCCCGGAAATAAATAAATAAATAAAACCATGCTTTCAAACAGAGAAAGCACAAATGTACAAATCTTTATTATTTTATTTAAAAAGAACACTACAGGGATTTAACAATCGTGTAGAGGTCTCGTTGCTATTGGATTTCAAGTTTTTTCTTTCTTTCTTTATTATTGGGAAGGAATGAGAGAACCACTCACCAAAATAATGTTTGCAATCCCAAAACAACCACTTCGCAAGCCGCTGAAATTCAAATGAAACATAGTAAATAATCACATCATATCACAAAACAGCCAACTCTAGTACAAACAAAGAAAAGAATGTTTTCAGATTCTGCAATCAAAGTGAATATAAGGACTGACCTGCATATCCCTGAAGTGATACACAAAAAAGCTAAAATTTTTGAGTTCCTAGAGAAAACCACAGCATCACTACTCTGAGCAGCAAATATGGATTCCGACAATATACTTGGAATAGAAATCTCTGAAAGCTGCAACATGAAAATATAAAAACATTACAATTTACACACCTAATAAAATGTGTCTAATTTAACAACGACAAATGCTTACTTCTCAATCTCAAAGTTGCTAATTTGCTCATACAAACTATGCAGTGATGTATATTAAACACTGACAAACACCCCAACCAATATCCAAAGCAAGTTCAATTATTGCAGGCAAAGAATTAAAACGCACCGCAGCAATGATCAAAGAAGTAAACGCGACAAAGATAACCTATCTTGATCCATGACTCTCCACCAAATCCCCCATTCGACGAAGAGCGTGCAGTAGCGTAATGGGCTTCGCCGCCGTGCAGCTTTGCTCTTCCTTATCATGCTCACTTAAACTCCACCAACTACAACAACCACCTGGAAATGCCGAACCAAAAGGCCCAACCCACTTTTCAACAGCCTCGTTTCGGATATGGAAGCGGCGGGGTGGTTTTGATGTGAGGCTGTGAATTGGGATTTGGGGTATGGATATAGTGCTGAGATTACGAAGAGGCTTTCTGTGATGGAGATAAGAGGAGTTAGGTGGTGCTTCTCTGATAGCTGTTATGTATGGATTTCTGTAAGCGGTTGATGTATGTTTTACCTATTAGCGGAAACGGTAGTGATATTTTGTAGTTGCCATCCTCGGAAATGGGAGATGTGGTGGTGACTGATTTAGGAAGGTGATTCTATTTCCTGAAAATTTACTTCGTATTTGTATACCTTCCCCATTTTTCAGGAAATTATTCTTTTATCCCTCATCAAATGGCTTTATTTTTTTTCTTCGAACTTCAAAAAGCACTAGCCAGTTTTAGGGTATACCCGCGCGGCTGTACTTTTAAAATATTCAAATATATTTAAATAGTAACGCCGCGCGGCTATACTTTTAAAATATTAATATATTTTAAAAGTATCTTATGAAAGCAGCAGCCTATTGAGAAAGTCTTAAAACTAGAAAAGCAACCTTAAGAAAGTCTTAAACATAAACTCCAACTTGACGATTGGCGAACCAAAGATTATATTTTATCTTTCATATTATAGTATAGACTATAGATAGGTTTTATTGGCTGTTGTGGAAATCAAGAAACAGCGGGTGAGAAAAATTCACAGTACCTTTTCACCACCAGATAAATTTGCAATATTCTTCCAACTCTTCTTTGGCGGTCTGACGCTGAAAACAACACCTTCAGAGAAAGGGTCCAGGGAGTCCACTAGCTCAAGTTCTGCATCACCTCCCAGCGTGATCATCTATAAATAACAGAAGCAAAAAAGATAAGGAATCATGCATCTAAAGGTAAAATCAAACGCATTCTCAAATTAGTAAAACACCATTTGATACCAGCGTACAAGTGGCACAAGCAATGCCTGTGCTAATTCAAACTGTTCAACAGACTCACTTGTAGAGAGCATGGAAGGTAGAAATATAGATCCATCAAAACCGAGGGAGAGAGAGAGAGAGAGAGAGAGAAACCTGATACATTTCCTTTAACTTCAAAGAGATTGCATTAAATCCTGCCATGAACTCATCCAACCTAAAATCATAATAATTTCAAATGAATAAGAGTTACAACTTATAAAAAAAATAGAGAACACATATAAACAGAAAGGTGTCATGCCTCTTCTTTCTCCACTCATCATACTGCCTCTTTATGTCATCACGCTGTTGAGTGACCATGTTAAGATCCTCAACTCGTTCATTATATGATGAGACCTTTCTCCGATACCTATTAAAATAAGCAATTAGAAGAACTATGCATTATACAAGCCAAATCATAAATATATTTGAAAATGAAGAGAAACCATACTCTGCAATTGAATCAAGATTCGGATTCATCTCTTTCAATTGCGCTTCAAGAAGTGCTACCATTTCAAGGGCCCTTTTAAGGTCACAAAGGTTATTTAGGACTTCATCTGCCAGAGTTGCTTGAAGCTTTTCAGAGTCCACCAAGTCTTTCTGAATTCTGCAAGCAAGAGATAGTGTTAATTACAATGTTCAATAAACCATTCTAAACCAGTATTTTCTGAAATCCACATACTGTTCCATATGCTTTATAAGGGCAGTTTGCAAGTCGGCAAGCCTTTTCTTGTAACCCTTCTCCTTCAACTCCAGCTCCTTTCCTAGCTTCTTCATATCTTGTAATTTAAAGTCAGCATCAACCTGTGACATCACCAAGTAATTGTTGATGGAAAAAAAATAAAAAACTGAGTATAGCCGTGCGGCTGTACTATTTTTACATATAAAAAATGGGGAGCCCAGTCATTAGGCGCCACGTGTCAAGACAACTCTACTTTTAAAAAAAATTAAAAACACAGAGTATAGCCGCACGGCTGTACGCATTTTTTTTTTAAAAAAAAAAAAAGGATCCTCCAGCGATTAGACGCCACGTGTCACTATACTAATTTTTTGAAAAAAAAATCATACGGCTATACTATTATAAAAGGTCTATCTATACTATTTAATATATAAATTAAAACAAGAAAAGAGGACCCTCCAAGTTTCATTAGTTTGTACTTTATAGATATGAATTTGCTAGTTTCAACATATCCAAAGTATATATTAATAAGCCACTATATAATGTTCTGGTATAATTTTTATAACATATATTATTCGTATTCAATAATATATGAGAATTATTTGTATAATACGTGAACCTTGTGTGAATTATTGAAAATTTTGTAAAAAATATGGGTATTAAGCATTAGAAATGCGTATGTACATGTACAATACGACAATTGTACGTTTGCTTTTTCAAAAAAATTCTCTTTTAACTACACATTTTCAATCCATTAAAATAGAAAAGGGTTAGATCAACAACAACGCAGAAAACCTGAAACTTGATAAGAATGACAATGCAACAAAATGAAATATAACCTCTTTGCTAGATTTGAGATTGGTAGGAGTGGAAAGTGCAGGGAGACTGGTTGAAGAGAATGAAGAAGATCTCTTAGCGTGAGCATTCCTTGCATCTATGTCAGGTAATGTACCTTTAGAAGACGATAGACACTTTCTACTCTTTAGCTAGATTTTAACCGTCTGATAGCGACAACTGATTCTAGCATATGCATTTACACATATGGTTACTACAAGTACAGATTCTAAATAAGCATATTTTATTTCACAGGCTTGGTTAAACATAGGCCTCAAATGTGAACCCATATGGTATCAAATTAACCATTGTTGAATATTATCAAGTATCACATAATCCATACGAAATGCAAATGCAACAACTAGTTGTGTTCTAAAGAAAAAGAATCTTCTATCTCTTGTTAAATGCACAAAACACTTAGTACCACTAATGTGAAAGCAACATTTTCAATTACATTACAGTAAAGTACCACGACATCATACAACTAAAGGACGACTCAATATCATGACATATTTATCGATTGTTTAAAAAGTATCAAAGCACAACCAGATTCATTTCGTACAATTCAAAATCATGAATGTCTAAGTCAAGCTTAATGGAATTATGAAATATCTGAATTCTGGAAAGTTTGTCAATAAAAACTTTGCAGCGAATCACAGCTTCAGTATTTACATCAGCAGCGTAAACAATGAATATAATAGGAAAAGAAGTATATTAAGCCGAATAAAATATCAAACAAACAAAGTAAGTAGAACTGATGAATTCATGGAAACAACAAATAAAAGTAAAGCAAATTAAGCATTCAACAGATTGATGAATGAAAAACTTACGGGGCGGAGCCGATCGAGATAGATACTGTTTGCTTGCTTTTCTTCGTGATAATGCAGAGAGGTACGGAGGGAGGTTAATTTAGGGTTTGTTATGTAGGATTTATATTTGTTGCATACTGCGTGTGTTTGTCATGGCTCAATCTTAATTTGATTTCATTTTGGTGAGGCAGAGGAGAGAGGTGAAGGGATGTCGGCGAGAAGGGAGTTGTTCACTGTAACCGTGCAAGGAGTTTGATCTGATGGATTAAAACACCTAAAGAATTTAAAAAAATTCATTAAATGACGTGGCACATTCTGATCGCTAGATAAATTGGACGGTCAAGATGATAACAAAGGGCAGAACCGGAATTTAAGTAATAATACTAAATGACAAAGGGCAGCAAACCCTAATTGATACTATATAAGCGAACATCCATCCGTAAGCGAAACCCCAACTAAAGAAGAGAGCGAGACCTACACACACAGCCTAAAACAATACAAATACAAACCCCACAACCTCTCTCTTCTGTTCTCTTCTCTTCTTCTTCGCTTCGAGTTTGGGGTTTCGCTTCTCTCTCTTCAAATCTCTCGCCCTTTTTCTCCGGCCTGCTCCGTACGGCCTTTCGGCCTTAGGATGTGTATGCGTCCGTCGCCTCCGTCTCTCTCTCCTCTCTCAGGTACTCCTCTCCCCTCTTTCTCTCTCTATATCTATCGGTGTGTGTATACCTGATCTACTTTTTCAATCAAAGATTGAAATTTATGGTTTCGTTTCTTTTAGGGGTTCATGGTTTAGTCTAATCTCCGATTTCGTTTCTGTTTGCTTTTGATTATCTTTTTGTTTTCGTGGGTTTTCATATGTTTTCTTTTTCTGTGTTTGGGTTTTGGGGGTTTGGAATAGTTTAAAGTAGAGAAGCTGAGGTGAAAATATGACAACCCTAAGATCAAACTTGCCATCGAGGATTCGTCAACTTCTGTCCGCCGACGGTGCTCTCGGGCCGTCCATCAAACTCGACTCTGAGCCTGTGAGTTTCTCTCACACTCTTCTCTTAGTTTAGTTTACTTTAATTTTGCATTGAGTGTGTTGTGTTGTATTGTGCAAAGTTTTGAATTTTGTGCTTTAAAGATTAGGGTTTTATCTCAATCATCAAGGTTACTGATTGGAGATGGCCCATCAGGGTTGTCTTGACCGCTTTTCGATCCAAATGCTTAGATTTAATTAATTTGAGGTTGTATGGGGCCTGAAAGATATGTGATTTTCATCCTTAGAATTGGTTTGTTGCGTAGTTTTCGTTAGGGTTATTCTTAAGAATTATTTGGCTGTTTGGCTGATGGTGCACAAGTGAACTTTCAACGCTTAAAATTTCTTACATAGGTAACCCACTTAGTTACTGCTTATTTTATACTTCCTCTAATAGAGGTAATCCTAAACCAAAACTAAGCCTTTTAGTTTTTTGCTTCCATTCAGTTGTCCCTCGCCTCCAAACATCGCATTCTCTCTGAAGCTTTTCATCTTTCCCTCATAAGATGAAAAACTTCAAAGATTGGAGATATTGTTGTTAGATCATTGGATATTATTGTTGTTCCTGCATAGATTGGAGATATTGTATATGAATGAATACCCTAAATTCATGTGCTGGGTCGATGTTATAATTTATTTTTCTTATGCTATCAAAATCATGCATTCTAAAAAAACAAAAAGAAAATTGATGGATGACCTCCTCGAAGTGTACAAAGCTACAGTAGGCAGTTGTGTATTCATTAAGGATCTTGTTTGATACATATCAATTTTTTTCCAATGTAGTTCTACATTCATTCTAAACTTGTTTGATACGCATTAACCAAATTTTCAGAAACACAAATTTTATGCAAAATGAAAGTTGTCGTATTCTAAATTTTGAGGAAGATGGTATATTTATGATATCTAATGCTTTGATAATTATGAGGGGACTCACCACATTTTCTATAAAATATGAAGTTATCTCATAAAATTGGGCATACAAATTTGTAAATGGACCTAATCCAATAGAAAACATTTATTGTACTTGAACTAAAAATTGAGAGGTGACTTCATTCTTTTAGGTTCCCCTCCCTTGAACTAAACATTTATTGTACTTGAACTAAACAATGAATATAATAGGAAAAGAAGTATATTAAGCCGAATAAAATATCAAACAAACAAAGTAAGTAGAACTGATGAATTCATGGAAACAACAAATAAAAGTAAAGCAAATTAAGCATTCGACGGATTGATGAATGAAAAATTTACGAGGTGGAGCCGATCGAGATAGATACTGTTTGCTTGCTTTTCTTCGTGATAATGCATAGAGGTACGGAGGGAGGTTAATTTAGGGTTTGTTATGTAGGATTTATATTTGTTTCATACTGTGTGTGTTTTTCATAGCTCAATCTTAATTTGATTTCATTTTGGTGAGGCAGAGGAGAGAGGTGAAGGGAAGGGAGTTGTTCACTGTAACCGTGCAAGGAGTCGAGTTTGATCTGATGGATTAAAACACTTAAAGAATTTTAAAAAATTCATTAAATGACGTGGTATATTCTTATCGCTAGATAAAATTGGACGGTTAAGATGATAACAAAGGGCAGAATCGGAATTTAAGTAATAATACTAAATGACAAAGGGTAGGGTTACTATATAAGCTAACATCCATCCGTCCTCTTGTCCCTCGCCTCCAAACTTGAAAGACTTCATCCTTGAGGTCTGTTTTCAATTTGCTTTTTCCGGTTCAAGTTTGTGTTTTATATTATCTGTTTGGTGTGTGTATTATCTGTTCTCGGATTCAAGTTTGTGTTTTAATCTAGAGAAACTTTTTCTGGTTAAAGATTTCATCCTTTTCGGTGTTTGGTGTATATAAGGGAGTGGTTGTCCGTTGTCCTGGGTTCTCGCTGTTTTGTCGTTTTGGAGGTTTGTGTTTGTCCCGCTGAGGATCTAGTAGTGATACGGTCAGTTAGTTGGGTTGGGTTGGGTTGGGTTGGGTTGGGTTGGGTGTGATTAGTGATTAGTGATTGCTGAGTATGTTGAGTTCACCTTGTGTTGTTTGTTTGGTTTAGGGTTTGGCTTGGTTTCACAAATAATCAATCATCTTGATTTGCATCCAATTCAAGTTTGTGTTTTGTGTATATTATCTGTTCTCCGATTCAAGTTTGTGTTTTATATTATCTGTTCTCTGATTCAAGTTTGTGTTTGATCACTCAAGAGGTTGACAAACACCTCTGCATCCAGTCCCGCGTGAGCAAAGACGCCCACACAATGCTCCAGAAATTCTTCAAATTCATAAAATCCGGGTAATGCATGCGAATTTATGAAAAAGGTGAGAGCAGACCCACCAATAGTAAGCTCAGGCAACAACCTAGCATGCAAGTTGAGTGTCAATGCTGTGAAGGTATCCTCGTTGTGCACTCTGCCCTGTGCAGTGGCAGCGTGCAACTCCAGCCTAATCATTATAAAACTACTTAGCATAAACACTTAATGATCAAAACCCTCAAGCCAGAAAAGAAGAAAAGGGAAACCTCTCATGCTCTGGCACAGGGGCCTCCGGCACAGGGGTGATGCCGGAGCCGCTGTCGGATCAGGAGATGGAGCCGAAGCCGCTGCTGGAGCACCTGCTGGAGATGGAGTTGGAGCTGAAGCCGTTGCCAGAGGCCCCTGTGCCGAAAGCCCTTGTGCCGGAGCATGAGAGGTTTCCCTTTTCTTCTTTTCTGGCTTGGGGGTTTTGATCATTAAGTGTTTACGCTGAGTAGTTTTATAATGATTAGGCTAGAGTTGCATGCTGCCACTGCACAGGGAAGAGTGCACAATGAGGATACCTTCACAGCATTGACACTCAACTTGCATGCTAGGTTGTTGACTGAGCTTACTATTGGTGGGTCTGCTCTCACCTTTTTCATAAATTCGCATGCATTTCCCGGATTTTATGAATTTGCAGAATTTCTGGAGCATTGTGGGGGCGTCTTTGCTCACGCGGGACTGGATGCAGAGGTGTTTGTCAACCTCTTGAGTGATCAGATACTTGGTCTGGAATTTGCATGAAAGTTTGGAATGTAGGTGATTATTTAAGCTTGGCTGGGCTATATTGAATTTTAGATGCAGATGCATTTTAAGGAACTGTTGATGATGTTGTAGTACTTGGTTGAGTGATGTGATGAACTTTAATCTGCTGGTTGCAGAGGCATTTTGATGAATAATTTTATGTTTAATTCATTTATGGTCTTGGTTTTTTTTTATATGAAATGCATATGTAGTTTGATTATTATTTCATATAAAGGCTTCTTTTTAGAATTTCGATGATATTTTTTGAATCTTGTGATTGTGGTTTACTAGTATGCCAGTTGCATATGGATTTTTAAAAACAGTTTTATGAAATGCATATGCAGTTTGAGAAACTACTTTGTGATTAATTCTTATTTGCTGTTAAAATGCTGATGTTGTTATCATTGGTTTTGTTTTTTGATTTTTTTTAATATTGTGATTTAATGGTCTGCTAGCTGCATAACTGACATCAAAAATGTATATGTACAATACGACAATTGTATGTTTGCTTTTTCAAAAACAGTAGACATCTATGGAATACGAATGTATTATTGAAAAATACGTACGTACATATATATATAAAAGACTAAGATATTAATTAAATTAAAGTTGTTGGGGAAAAAAGAAAAGTAAAGAAACTAATTTTATCTTTTAAAAAAAAAAATATATATATATATATATATTTTAGATTAATTAATTTTTTAAACTGTTATTTTTAGTAATTAAATAATATATTTGATTGATTTAATTAGTTAAATTATTTAATTATATTTTAATTAGTGAATAATTAGTATTAAATATGTTGGGGCCTTCTTCAATGCGAACTCGTATATGCGAACTCGTTGTGAACTTTTGTTTTTAACCGTTGGATGGCTTGTGTGGCTTTATTTTCTTTCTTTTCGCTCTTCTTCCAACGGTTAAAAACAAAAGTTCGCAACGAGTTCGCATCTTAGAGTTCGCATTGGAGAAGCCCTCTAAATATGTTAATTAACTTCAAGAATTATATTACTTAATAAATAGTAATTCAATTTTTTTTTTTCTTTTTTTCCTTTAATATTCACTAAGTAAATAATAACTGAAACTTACTAATCAAAGTAATTCAAAAAGAGAAATACATATTATGCTAGTTAAAGGGTTTGTAAAATAGTACAGCCGTGCGGCTATACTGCTTTTAAAAAAATTTTAAAAACTGAGTATAGCCGCGCGGCTGTACTATTTTTACATATTAAAAAAAAGAGCCCAGTCATTAGGCGCCACGTGTCAAGACAACTCTACTTTTTTTTTAAAAAAAAACACAGAGTATAGCCGCCCGGCTGTACGCATTTTTGTTGTTTTTTTTTAAAGGACCCTCCATCGATTAGACGCTATGTGTCACTATACTATTTTTGGAAAAAAAATCGTAGTATAGCCGCACAGCTATACTATTCTAAAAGGTCTATCTATACTATTTAATATATAAATTTTTTTTTAAAAAAGAGGACCCTCCAAGTTTCATTTAAAAACATTAGACATCTATAGAATACGAATGTATTATTGAAAAATACGTACGTACATATATACTTACACACACAGATATATATATGTGTGTGTAGAACATTGAAAGTGATAACATGGTGGGGAATGTGTTCATTATAAGCAAGGTCTAAAATATCGGTAGGCCAAAAACACGGAAATTTTGATGGAAATATCGGGATATTATCGATATCGATAAAAATTGAATAAAAGCAACGGAAATTGTAAGAAAAACTTGGGAATTTTTATTGAAATTTTGTAGGATGTTTATTTAGTCAATTATCTATTAGTTTATCATAAAAAATTGGAAGGAAAAGCATTGCATGATGGATTTAACTGATTTAAGTTCATTATATAGCGAGTTGGCAAACACTATGAGTGTGAGTGTAGAAAACTTATTTATTTATTTATTTAATAAAATTCCATTAATTAAAAGCTTATTTATTTATTTATCATAAAAAATAC